CTTTATTGCGATAAGCTATTATTATTTAAAGTTACGGGGTTGAAAAGGCAAAAAAAACTATGAATCCAAAGAAGGTTTTTGACCTAAAAAAAATAAAAAATAAACATAAATTGGTATACTGAAAAGTTACAGTTGTTACTTTGTAATCACGTGTTAAAAAGTGAATATCCCTTACCTTTCTAAAAGCAAGAACAACCAGACACTTCAAACCAAGAATGTCTACACTTTATTAAGCCCAGAAGAATGTTCAACACTTTTAACAAGCTTGAACTAAAAAAAACTGTCTAAAAATTAGTATACTGAAAAGTTACAGTTGTTACTTTGTAATCACATATTATAAAGCAAACATCTTTTACCTTTTCAGAAGCAAGAACAACCAGACACTTTGAACCAAGAATGTATACACTTTATTGAGCCCAGAAGAATGTACAATACTTTTAACAAGCTTGAACTAAGAAAAACTGCCTATCGATAATAATGATCAAGATACCAATGTGAGGTTGATAGTACTACGTACAGTTTTTGTTAAAGGTAAGATCTTTATTGCTTTGTGAATATATTTTCGCATGATACCTAACAGACTTATTTTATCAATTCACAAGACAAAATCAAAAAATCAGAGAAAAGGTTGAATTTTTATGATTGTGCTCCTTTATATTGTGTGCAGTATATATATAATACTTAACTTCCTGCAGCAAAATAAAGTCTACACTTATTTATATATCATATAGCATGTGTATAATCATTAGATCTTGAAACATACATATTAAAACTGGTTTTAACAATAACAAATAAATTTGTGCAACTTATCATTACAAATAAATATCTTGTATAACAGGGTGCGATTATAACATAGTATTATGAATATAATTTCTTATTTTTAAAAACTATTTTAATATTTATATAGAGTATAATAAATATATTTAGTAACTTTAAAAATTAATAAATATTAAAAAATTATATTTAATAAAATTTTTAATAAATAACATATATATATTTTAATAATTTTAACAATATGCATATTAATTTTTTTTAATTATTTTTTATAAATTTTATTAAATATTTAATTATTTTTTAAATTTTGTTTAAAACATTTTATCTAAAAAGAGAACTCAAAATCATATATCAAAAAAGTGTACAAGGTTTGTAATGCAGACAAAATTTTTAAAATAAGGTAAGGTTAGGGTTAAGATTAGGTAGGAGCTACAAAAAAGATAGTTTATATAGTAAAAGTTCAAGTGAAACCTTTTGTTTAAGCACAAAAGTAGTTTTTTAGGCTGCTTTTTAAGCTATAAGTGATTTTTTGGCAAAACCAAACATTAATTTTTAATCTTACTAATCGAGTTATATTATAAATATGATTAGTAGTTCAGGAAATCTAAACCACAAATATTGTACATATTTTCGGTATGCTTGAAGACATAATCAAGACAAAGAATTCTACTAGAATTAGGTTGTTAATATAGACATACATCACTAAAAAAAGACTACAGTAAATGATATACTTCGATAAAACACTATATTTTGTTCTAGTATTGGTAGCCAATCGACTTGAATAAGTCAAATTAAATAAACAAAAAAATTAATTTTGTCAACTTGAATTACATTAAGTCAAAAATAAATTTGTCTTAGGGTGCTTTCAAGCATTTAACTCAATGATAGTATTTATAGAATTAAATGCTTGAACTTGTACTATTTTTTCAGAATCTACATTATGCAACCTCAAGTACCTGAAAATTTTCTACTAACCCAGTTACCAAACCTCAAAATTCACTTATTCTTTTAATGACTTTACCAATTTAATACTAGTTGCAAAAATAGCAAAATCAATTTAGGGAATAGTTAATTTAATGTACATTACGGCAACAAGAAAAAAGATTTTTTTGTGAATATTAATTTTTAAATTTACTGAAAATTGAATAGCAGTAGTTATTACAGTGATTAAATATAAAAGATGTGTTTATTATACTTATATTAAAGTATCGATTATTGTAATGTCTGTATATCAACTTCATGGAGATCAATATAGATATCGTGACAATATAATTAAATTCCCTCAAGACATACAAGAATTCACAACACATCTTTCTCGGCATCCATTGTCACTAAATATGTTTATTGTGCATCACAAGCTGCAAATCATTCTGAATCATTTAGAGACTTTTATGTTTGACATTTTAAAGTAACCTGCGCATTATACTGACT